GTAATTTTCAATTGTAATGGGGTGCTGCAAGATTTAACCCGAGCGTTCTTGTCGCAAATGAAAAATGGCTGGAGAAATGCGGATGAATGGCGCAGCCGCGGGAAAGGGGGCCCCTCCCTCCCCGAATTGGGCACGGTGTTGTGCAGATGCTTGCCGAGGCTTTCTGCTCCCTTTTAATAATGCAGCAAGCTTGCAGGGGAAGATGAAGAATCAGCCTTTTCATTATGCCCAGGGCTGCTGCAGTCGGCGTCCCCACCTTGTCCCGTTGCTGGAGGAGGAGTGCCACCGCGCGGCAGATGGCTTCCGTGGCGCGGGGATGCCTTCGCTTTGTCACGCCGAGGTCTCAGCCTTTGCCTGCTGCTTTTTTTTTTTGTTGGTTTTTTTTTTTTTGATGCTGGAGCCTGAACAAATGAATTCTGTTTTCCACCAGCACACGCTTGGCCGCCAGAGCTAATGCAGTCTGTTTCGTTAATCCTTTAGAAACAAATTGTTTAGGGATGATGCCAGCCATATAAATCAGCCTTAATTTTTTTTTTTTTTTTTTTTTTTCCTCCCTCCCCACCCCTGTAAGGCTGCTGAAGGGGGCTGTGCTCTGTGCGACTGCACCGGCGCAGATGGTTTGCAGTGGGAGACAGGGAGCGAGGTAGATTTCAGCGCTCTGTTTCGGGTTTCCAAAGCAGAATTCCTGGTGTATTAAAAGCTCTTACTCCTTTCTTTCCCCCTGCCATCCCACCCTCTGCATCTCTCCCTGAATCCTACCAGCCGCGTTTCCTATTTCCAGTAACAGTAAACGGGCGCAGGTTGCTGGAGGAGGAGAAGGCATTTTCCCTCCCCTTCCCATAAAAATGGAAGGGCAGCCGCTGTCAGGCGAGCAGCGCTGCCCTCATCCTGCTTTTTTATAACGCAGCCGCCTCTTTGCGCCTCTCCGGCAGCAGCCGCGCGGCTCCTGGGCTGGGTGCGTTCCCTGCAGAACCGGGCGGTTTCTCCTTTAACATCGCCTTTAGGAAAAGGCCGAGCGCAAAGCGCCTGGCTGGGCAGCAAGACGCTAACGAGCGGCTGATGAGGTTACGCCTCCCTGATGGGCTGGCGTTCTCCACGAGCGACGGACCGCGCTGCTCCAGCTCCTGACCTTCCTTTCGGGGAGCAGTTTGGGGCCGACTCGTTTCTTTTGAGGTACGGTTTGTATGGGCACGGCTGGGTCTGTTGCAAGGAAGCATCTGCAGAAATGGCTAAAAACAAAGGCTGGCCTGGTGGCGCGGGCTCACGGTGGAGCGTACGTTCTGTTGTCTGCCAGCGATGAATGGGGCTCTACGCGGGGCACAAAAATAGCCAGAAAGGGGGCTTTCAGTATAATATTTTCTTGTCTCTCAGCCACTGGACTAGAGATGAAGCTTTACTTGATGCTGGTGCCAAAAGCAGAAATGTGAGAATTGATTAAACCCCCAGGTGGATGCTCCTGCTCACCATCAATGCCTTTAATCCCACATAGTTTAACTCGTCCCAGCTGTAGCTGCTTGTGTCCCACACTTACGATGCCCCTCTAATATTTGCATTGATGTCTCCAGGTGTGCTCCATCAGAGCTGTTGGCCACTGCCTGCAAACCTGTTGCCAAATCCAGGGATTCCTCTTGGTTCTCCAGCACCTAAGGGTTGTGTCTGGGAGCCTGTATATTAAGCTCACTGCCCGTTTTTGCAGTGTTACCTTGTCTTTCATACACTGATAACGGTACTTCATGCCCTGACGGAGGGGAGGGCACGCCTGCGAGGGTGAGGATTGCTCCCCAGTTCCTGGGCCAGAAGCGATGCTGGCTGATGTAGGCTCTTGCTTCTTCCTCTGGAGAAACCAGAGAAGCACGCAGCAGCAGCCAGGCAGGGAGGTGATGGAGGGCCAGCCCTAGCCCATCCGGGCTCTGCCTCAGTGCACGAAGGCAAGTGGCCTCCTGGGCCAGCGGAGCAGGAGCTGCCCCTCGCAGGGTGAGCCCTGGTGCTGGCTTTCCTAAAAGCTTTCTCGCTTGAATAATTGATGCCGCTTGATCCCCAAGAGATGCCCTAATTGCAAAACCCGTGGCACACGTTCAGTTATTTCTATCCTATTTTTAAATAAGGTTCTGAATCTCTTTGCACAAGCAGTGTGGCCGGGGGTTCCCGCAAGTGGCAAGCGCCTGTCCCTGGAGGTGACACTTGAGCATCTGCAGGGCACCAGAGCCGGGCTGAAGCCGCGTGTCCCCAGTGCTGCCCGTGGGAGCTCCGAGCTGGGACAGGGCAGCGGGATGAGGCGTCTGCCTGGGAGGGCTTCCCTGGAGTCCCCATCCTTGCCTGGAAGTGCTTGGGCAGAGCGGGGTGCGAGGCCAGGGGCTCTCCCAGCCCTGGTGCCAGGGGGACGTGCGAAACCTCTCCACACCACAGAGGCTGAGAGGGGGAGGCTGCGGGGAGGGGGAAGAGAGGCCAGAGCTTTCGGTGCTGGGGAAGCCAGGAGGTCAAGGGGGAGGCCCAGGGAGGACATGATGCTGTAGGAGGCCATGGAGTGGGATGCTGAGCAGCAGTGGAGGGTGAGGAGAGGCTGAGAGGCTTTGGGAGGGCGAGCACAAAGAAGAGCCCGACAGAGAACAGGGGCAGGGCAGGAGTCTGAGCGAGGTCGAAGAGGAGTGTGAGGATGAGCAGGAGTGGAGGCTGAGCAAGAATGCAAGGGGAGGCTCTCAGGGAGACTTCAGGGTGGAGGAGATGAAAGGCAGAACAAAAGACGGTGGGAGGGCAAGAAAGAGTAAGGCAAACTGGAACAGAAACCAAGAGGCTGGGGGAAGCCGATGTAGAGCTCAGTCTACGCAAAGATGCAGTCTGAAGGGAAGATGAGGCTGAGCAGGGGTGGGAGGCTGAGGGAGGGTTGAGGCTGAACATGGATGCAGGTAGCTTCTGGGGCCAAAAGGCCTTTGGAGGTTTAGAGGAATTGGGATTCTAAGGCTGTTGTGGTATTTGGGGCCATGGTGTTGGAGACTATGGGAGCTGGGGCCAGGGGGCAGGAGGCCACAGGACCAGAGACCATGGGAACTGACACCGTGAGACCAGAGGGCTTTGGAGCAGATTCCCCAGGAGAGAAATGACGGGCGTTAAGGCCATGGAAGATGAGGCTATGGAGCTGGATGCCCCTAGGGGGTGGCTCCGTGAAAGGAGATGCCAGGAGGCAGCAGGAGGGGAGGCCAAGAGGGAGTGGGAGGCCAAGGGGGTCTTCAGGTCCAGAGAGTGGGAAGTAGAAGAGGCATGGAGGGCGAGAGGCCCACAGGCACCAAGGCAGGGTGGGAAGTGACAAGTGTGAGAGGCCCAGCCAGCGGAGGCTGTCGCTGTGCCCTGCCCGCGGCTTGCTCGTGGCCGGGGTCTGTGTTTCGCTCTCCACGCACGTGGGTAAGCCCTTGCTCTCCCCATCACACCGTGGGGTGGTGTTTAGGAGACCCATCCGAGTAAAACGAGATTTTGGTTTTGAAAAGGCTTATTTTCTCCCCTCGGATGCAAACGCAGCACGATACAAAACTCATCCCTTGTGCAACTGCGGGATAAGGACTTTGCTAAAGAGATGGAAGAGATGAAAGTCAACATGCAAGGATAACGAGATGGAGAATTGTCCATTTGGTTCCTGGAGCAATTCAAGGCAACAAAACTTTACCCCACGTTACCAGCTGTTGGACCAGCCCGTGGGCTCTTGGTCCTCACCTCTTACACTTTCTAGCTCTAAGGGGTTTCACGTGGTCCTAACGTTTTTCTGCTTTGTGACCGGACATCACTCGTGGCGCTGGCTTTGTCATGGTCACCCCCCAGGCGGTGCCTTCTTTAGTGATAAGAAAACATTGACATTTAAAGAAATATATAATACGGAGGGGACAGAGTCTGTTATAACTATCTGCTCATGCTTTCTCCAGCTGTCTACTTTCCCAGCACCAATTTGTGCATATATTGACTCATATTTATTCTTCCAAGCTTGAAGCTCTAGTTTGAGCAAGTGGAGGGGATGAGCTCCTACCAGGAGTGATTCCTCACCAAGCAAAAAATTTCTACACTCTCCTTCAGTGAAAATGAGAACTTCAAGTTACGTGTTGAAACCCACATTTTTCCATAGTAGCTTTCAAAGCCAGGTCAGATAAAAATCTTCCCTCAAAGCAGCTGTATCTCTAGCTGGTTCATCACTCTTACCAGCTATTTTTGAGTAACCCAGACCAGACGTACATAAATGCAGTCTTTTAGAAAGTTCTCAGACTTGGATGAATTTTCACATTTAAAGCCAATTGCATCGAGGATTTCGGTGCCTGTCCCTGCTCCTCCCATGCAGCGTTGTGTCCTCTCACAAGGCAAAGCCTTGCCATCCCCCATGACCTGTCCTCCCCTCCCAAGCAGCATTGAAAGCTGGCAGTGGAGCTTTCCACGTTGTGTCTTACCAAATACTCTGGCAAGAAACATCTGTTAAAGTCAGAAAACATGCCAGTCTTTGAGAACATGGCCGTGGCATTCAGTGGACTTTTGTAACTTCCATGAGTAGCTTCTTGGGTCTAAGTCCACGTTTGAGATGCTTACAGCTCTGCTTGTGAACCGCTTGTGCCGCATGGTGGGGTTTTCAAGCAGGGAAAGGCACGCTGTCCGCGGGGACCGGTGGATGCCACAGTCTGATCCTGGCTCTGCATCAACACCCTTTGCGGAGACAAAGCGATGCTGATGGTTGAACCAGGATGGAAAGCCCCAGTGAGACCATCGCTCCCAACGACTGGGACGCACGGACGGGTCTGCACAGGTCGGGTTAGAGGATGAAGATGCTGCTAAATGGGGAAGCGACTTCTATCACCGGGAGTGCACGAGAATAACGAGAATTTCATTTCCTGAGTGGAAGAAAACCACACTGTCTGTAACCTACAGCCCTGTCTGTAGCCTACAGCCCTTGGGCAAAGACCGTGCCAGGTCCGCCGGTCCTGGTAGAAGCTGTTACAGTCACTGGAAACAGAGGGTGAAGCAGCTGTGTTTTGGGGGTGGAGGGAGCATCCCTCTGTGCTCATCCTGTGCAGGCACGTTCACTCCGGTCATGCCGTGAGCGTCTTCTCTTGTGAAGGAGAACATATGATTTTGAAGTGGCCGTCATCAGGGCTGGGAATGGCCCCAGCACTTCCCGTGCTGCATATCCCGGTGTGAGAGGGAGCAGCTCTTTCCCCTATGTGATAGGAGGTGCTGTGGCACGATTTGGTCTCTTGTACAGCAGAGCCGTGGCCAGGGAAGCAGAAGCCACAGGTTTCCACTGGCTCTGGGACCCTGCTGCCGGTGGATCCATCACCAACGCTGCCCGCTTCCACCAGGCGATCTGCAAACAAACTACGTGTGTTAGCTTAGGGGGGTTTAGGAGCACTTTTTACCCAAGAAATGCTTTGCAGAGCTGCACTAGAGCCTACAAAGAGCCAGTCCTGGAACCAGAGAGGGCATCCACCTCCCACCACTTCCATAAAGCCCACGGCACCGTGTGTTGTACGTAATGCGTCGCCTGCCTGCTCAGCCCTAGTCCTGCCAGCAGGGAGGGGGGATCTGAGGGGGGAATTGGAAAGCGCCGGGGACAGGAAGACTGGAGGTTTAGCACTAAAGCAATTGTAATATTTATAATGTTACATGTAAATTGCCTTTCCATTAAATGCTGCTTTTGTAGCGTATGCAAATGCAACAGCGCAGGCCCGCCAGCCGGTTCAAGGGCCCCGCCACGCTCCGTGGGCTGGACGCTGGCTGCCCGGGGGCTCTGCTCCATCATCTGAGGAGCGAGGGCAGACCAGGGGTATTAAAAAGCATACAGTAAATCTCTCTGAGCCTGGCGGCCTCCCTTAAAAGTGAACGCTCAATGCCACCGTGTCCTTCAACCAAAGCAGACGGGAATGGCTTGAATTACAGCTCTGCTGGAGGGGGACTCGGAGCCACACGCCGGCTCGTGGGCTTTTTCTCTGTGATTTTTGACATCCAGCACGACTGGCTTTGAAGTGTACGTATGTAAACATGTACGTGTATACATAAACAGGTAGACAGACATTTTTATTTTTAAAGGCAGGGGAGGAGAGGAGAAGGCAGAATAAAACCACCTTTTCTATGTTAACTGCCTGCCTTTCCCTATCCTTCCTCACAAAGACTTGTGAGGCCCCTCTGGTTCCAGGGCTCAAACTTCAGGGTTTGATGCTGCGAGGTAATTCAGCCACCCGGCTGCACCATTAGCCTTTTCGGAGGGGCAAGTGGCCCGTGTTACTGTGGTTCTTTGCCAGGCAGCCGTTTGCCCCAAGTGAAGGAACCCGGAGCTGCAATTGCCACGAAAGCCCCAGGTCTTCCTCGGGCAGGTGGCTCGTTTTGGACGAGGGTTGGCTTTTTGCAACTCCTCCTCCCCACAGCTCAGCCTCTGGAGAGCTGCTGGTGCGGCTCTGGCCCTCAGCCCAGCTCCCTGCGTGAGCCTGAGGCTTTGCAAGGCAGCGACTGAGCAGGGAACGGCGTTACGAGGGAGAATCTGGGCACGGGGATTCCATCCTGCTCCTCTTCCAGGCGCAGGCTGCCCCACATTGCGGGTCGTTTGCTTTCTCTCCCGACCCCCCCGTGCCGAGCTGGCGCTGCGTCCTGTCCCTCCCAGCGCTACCTGGGAGCTCCCCAGGGCCCCCAT